CGCAGCTGGCAGCGGCCCGAGCGGATCCATGCCCAAATGCCATCGCAGGCAGGCGATGCCAGCGCTAATTAGAACTCTGCAGCCTAAGTCTCGACTTCAGGCTGGTCATTACACCCCTAAGCCGGATGCGGGCGGGCAGGGGTGCGTGGTGTCGGCACAGCATTGCCGGGAAGCACGTGCCCTCGTGCCAGTTGCCTCCCACGTGCGGTGTGGACGAACACTTGGGCATAGAGCACTCTGCAGCATAAACCACGAGACGCTGATTTAATGTTTTTTAATCTTTCCGTGCCCCTTTCGCCTTCGTGGAGATTGAGAAACCCTCCTCTGATAGCAAGTGCTGCTTGCAGAAGCGACAGGCAACCCTGGAATAAGAGTTTGGTTTCTGTAGAGACGAACCCCGTGATAAATAGACAGACATGCTTTCTAATTTGGGATTTTGTGATGTGGGTGGATGCTGTAGATAAACCAGTTGCCAGGAACTGTCATCCCAGTGCTCACCTCCCCCACAGCAGTTACTGGCTGGGAAGATTGAATGGCCAGAAGTGCTGAAATCCTCAGTTTTGCATCTGTAGAGCAAATGGCCGCAAACCTTGTCCGTGCAGCCTTGCCCGTGCAGGGCCCGCGCCAGCTCGGTGCTGACACAGCTCCTGCCCGTGCCTCTGCTGCAGCGTCTTTCTCCTTTCAGATTGCCATCTGAGCTGTGACCCACTTTGGTCCTGCTTTGAAGGAGACGGGAGGCGGCGGGGACGCAGCGGGGATGGATGCGGTTATGTCAGTGGGAGTTTTCTGCAGGCTGCGGTGTGGAAGGTATGCCCTGATCCCTGCTCTCAGTTCGGGTCAGCTTTGGGGGAAACACGTAAAACCCACCGTCTGCCCGAGGGACCCAGAAACATCATACACAGCCACGTCTTCTCACAGAGCTGTTCAAATAACCAGCCCCGCTGAAATGATAACCTGCCATTTCAGCCCACTTTTTAATGTTCTTTCACGTGCTTTTGACTAGAGGTTTACATAACCCTCTGCCAAGTCCTTCCCACATGCGGGGACTTAAAACTCCGGAAGAGGAAATATTGTAAAGGAATACGTTACCTTGATAGGTTCAGCACCAAAACACCAAAGAAGAAACCCACCTCCCTCCTTCCTCCCACATTTTGTCTGGCTCGTATGCCACGCACGCACTTTCAGTTTTTCTTAGGAACAGATAAAGGTATCATTCTTACCACGTCTCCACAGAGGGAAACCTTTGTCCCAGTCCACAGAGCGCTGGTGATACAGCAGCTGAGTGTACGTTTTTCTGTTCTCTCCTAGCTGCCTGCATTGCAGTGCTACCGAGGTTACAAGGTACCAGGATTGCTCCACGCTCCGCCTTGCACGGCTAGAACCTACTTACCCCTTTTCCCTGGCAACTGACAGGGGAGGGAAATGAGCGTTAGAGCAAACAGGATGCAACAAACAATACAGTTTTGTTCCTGATGCAATTCTTGCTACTGAAACAAATACAAAGAATAAAGTTTCAGCCAGCTCCAGGGATTCCTGACTAACTGAAGCTGGCTGCTGCTTTTCACGCACCTGTAAGCAGTGACTTGCTGCAGCGCCTCTGCTGATAACACCACGTCCTCAAAAAAGGATGACGCATCAGTGCCCTGTTTGTCTGTTGCCACCTTACTCAAGTGACGGCAGCAGACAGAGCTGTGAAAGCCCACCAGTGGCGGGGAGGGAGACCTGCCCGAGGGTTCTGTACGCAGTATAGTAACAGGGCATCAGTCTGTTCATTGTGATCTGCTTTATCTCCCGGTATAGCCCCCGATCCTCAAAAGTCAGATTTCACGCTGTATCCGAAGCACGGATAGCTTGGCCTGGCTGCTCTCTGCCTGACAGGAGGACAAAATAAAATAGCAACCAAGCATTTACCCGTCCCCGAACATTCAGCTGTCTCCTGGCTCACCTCGGACAGGGCCGTTTTTGTGGGCTGACCGCCGCACGTGATCACGGACACATCCAACGAGCTGCAAAGGTCAGTCCCATGCACACAGCCCCGTCTGGGAATGACGTGGGATCTGCCGGGTGCCTTCAGGACATCGGCTGGCCATCAGCCCGCAGAGCGCGTGGTCAGGGCACTCCCAGCCTCGGGTGTGCCAAGACCCCTTCCAAAACACGGCCACCGGCCCTAGAGCCACAGGTGAAGGCTCCTGGAGCATCTGCACTGCTTGGGAGGCAATGGGGACCACTGGACCCTGGGGCACCCCCCAAACCAGCATTCTCGGAGGTAACTTGCTGCATTTATCCCTAACCTCGGCCGATGAGGCAGCCTGGCTGGTGTTTTGGTCTAAGTTACACAACCTTGCCCGCAACTTCTTTTTAAAGAAAAGAGACTTTGAGACGTCTTAATTACAAAATAACATTTAAAAGTTGTCAGGGTTTATTATCTTGTCACACACAGTAATGATCCACTTAACGTGTTGTAACCAGAAGGTTAACAGTAGGCTGAGCCGTTCCCTTCCCCTCCATATTGTACAGTGCCACGAGTATGGCGTTGCAGTGGAATGCAAAACTTGCAGTATGTGGAAGTACCTTACAATTAAAAAGTGGATTTTTACCCAAGTGACCTGGAAAGCATTTCCAAGCATCCTGCCATTTCGGGTTGCTCTGTTCTGACATCATTTCTCTGCTTGTACCCGTCCTTTTCAGCGCCAGAACTGAGAATTCCAGGCTGTGTTCCCGTGCCCACGGGGGACACCACGGACTGGCTCTTCACGACAGAGGAGGAACAGCATGACGTGACATCTGCTTGCATTGACTGGGCTGCCAGCGTGGTCCCTTTCTGCAGCACTTCAGTGTAGCTACTTGAGTGCACTAAAACCAAACAAAACCCCGCGACGACACACAAGTTTTTATGGTGAGGAAGCTGAAAATACACGCAGTGACTGACAAGCCCAGAGTCTTGGTTTGTGGCTGCACGTTGCAGCACTGTTGTGACCACATCTGACAAGTGTTCCAGCTGTGGCTGCAGGAGGCACCTATAGATTGGGCCTGGTTTGGGGAATTTTGTACAGTGATTTTCTTCCTGCTGCTGAAGAGGATGCAGATCCCCACGGAGACCTCTACAGCGTAAGTACCTCGAATGGTTCTGCTTTTCCAAAGCCTGGAACAAACAAACAATTCAGTTTGCTGCTTAGACCTCTCTTAATTTGTCCATTGCCAAGTTATTTGTTGGGGCTGGGCTTCTGGGTTGGGGTTTTTTTTTTTGGTGGTTTTGTTTGTTTTTTTAACTCGGGGCTTATTGCTATTCCATTGTCAATAGTGCGTAGCAGAAAGAGCTGAGATTTAACAGAACTAAAACTCTTTGGAACCTCAACAACAGGCTGTGTGTTGTGACTGATGTGCTTTCACAATCCCTTTCTTTCCAGTTTTTCTAGTATGGCCTGAATTCTGTGGACGGACTCTTTCCTGGCCTGCCGAACACTGTCCTGGCCACCAGTCTCGATGGAATCCAGTTCCAACAGCAGCTTGGTCAACATCTCCTCCAGAAGCCGGTAGGATTTATCTGTCTTTTTTCCTACAAATTCATCCACCTCTTGCTCCAGCTGTTCAGCCTCCCCCATAACCTGGAGGATTCTCTGAATCTCTGGCTGGATGGCTGCAGAATTTGTTGAAGGCTGGTCACCAGGTTTAAAGCCAGCCTCCCGGTTCCCAGCCAAAAGCTTCCGAGATGCGCTGTCGTACATTTGGGGCTGTGCGCTGTACTGCACCTTGGGGTTTGAGGGGGATGGCTTGGCGTTGAGCGGAGTGGCTGGCTTGTGGTCATTCATTGTCCCAGAGTGCTGGTGATTGACATCAGAATAGTAGTTGTGTTGGTTTGCACTTTGCTCGGGTTTGTCGTAAGCAGTATCCTACAGTCAGAAGGAAAAAAAAAAAATATATATCTTTTAAGTGCATTTCCCTTAAAGCGCGGTTTTTAATCTTGCACTCAAAAGGCAGGCAAGCAGGG